TCTCGAACAGAGCACGGGTTTAAGACATCCGTATACCGACATTCACCAGACAGTACCTCAATTTCAACTCCCACCATCCATACAGCATAAAGAAAGGGATTGTCCATTTCTTACAACACCGAGCAAAAGTTATAAGTGGCGACTCAGAGACATTAGATAAAGAATTGGTCAGTATAAGTAGTACCCTACAACATAACAACTACCCTGGGTACATGGCAGCAGCCCCAAAAAACTGGGATAGGCGAATACAAGAGGAGGAGGACAACGACACTCAGAAAACAGTCTGCCTGCCTTATGTGAAAGGGTTATCAGAGAAAATACAAAGGATCTGCGGTCCATATAACATCAGGACAACCTTCAAAAGCTTGACGACTTTGCAGATATCTCTCCCAAGTAAGACCTCCCATAGAGGAGAACATGACTAAAGACTGTGTGGATGCTATCCTGTGCAGCTGCGGAAAGGAATATAAAGGAGAGACAGGCCGTCCCTTCAAGGTAAGGCTTCAAGAATACCAGAAAGCTGTAACACGAGGGGAAGTGGAAAAATCAGGTGTAGCTGAACACATATGGAGAGAGAAGGGAGATCACCACCCTCTGTGGGATCATGTTCAGATTATAGACAAGGAACATCATTGGAAAATTTGTAAACTTAAGGAATCAGCACATATGCTAGGCCACAAAAACCTCCTGAGCCGACCAAGCACAGAAATAAATACAATATGGGAACCAGTAATATTGCCAGAGAAAAGCAATGATAACAACAAAGTTGCAATATGAGCTCTGGTAAAAACATGGAATGATAACAGCAAAATTGCAATATGAGCACTGGTAAAAATGGTTGCTGAAGACATTAGGTTTATAATACCCAGAAATTCATACCCAGATGTCCTCAAGGACACATGGCACAGTGGATAAAGGCGTTGGTTAGATCCAGTGACAGGACCCAAAGGCAGTGGAGAACTTTCAGAGGGAAATTAACAGGAGATAACTGATAACTGACATCAAACGTAAAGCTAGAACAGTCTACCCCAGTGAGTGAAATAAAGGGCTCAGTTTGACATTCCAACCACCGAGCATACATTGGCCGAAATGTAATGAATATGGCGACAAAAATGAGGACAATAGTCTGAATAATGTAAATAATCTACATAATACCTCATCTCAGAAATATAGACAAAAATTGATAATGTTTAAAAAGAATAGCTGAAAGCGCTCAGATATACAGAACATTTGGACAATTTTTACAGGCTTGAAGTGACTCATTTACATATGAAATCACAAAGACTATAAATAACTACGGCTATTGCTCATGAGGCAGTTGGAGTATGTAACACTACACTACAATGGCATCACCGGTATCTAAAGAACTGAATAAACACAGGATAATTATGAATACGCATAAGCATGGCGTAGGATACTAGCAGCTAAAACAGGAACTAAAAAGTTAAAGGATCTAAAATCAGTCAGAAAAATGCAAACATTTCTTCCTAGATTAATGCTAAGTTATAGGACAATACCACATGCTGGAAGATCAAAAAGCCTGTCTACCCTCATAGGTAGACAAATTAGAGCCCCAGTGACCATGTCTTATGCTACCAATGAAAAACTAGAGTATAAAAAGAATAGTTAACCTAATTTAAAAGAGGCAAAATTCATAATGCAAAGTGGACAGAACACTATGATAAGAGAAAAAATAGAAATATAATATTAATGCATACCGACCAAGTTAGATTGCAACAAGATAGCGATGAAGAAATGTATAGTGAGCCTGAAAGTAATGAAAGCAAAATTGTCATGTCAAGCCAAGACAAACATTACAGTGAAATCAAGAGCAATTTTGGCTTTGAAGATGAAGATGGCTTGAAACACTCCTATGAAAAAGAAAAAGATCACAATCTTCCATATCTAGACAATCTCTTGGGGAGATAGGGGAAGAAAGTGAGGATACAAAGCTCTCAAATGTACCAGGGAAAATAAGAGGATAAAATTTGCATATGAAGTCACAAAGACTATAAATAGCTATTGCTATTACCCATGAGGCAGCTGAGTGCATGCTACTTCCTGTGAGTCAGTAACACTACACACACTTTATGTCCAGAAAAGAGGAGGCTAAACTAGGAACCTCCAGTCTAATGCTCTTCCGCTTTTTGCATGTAATCACCATTTGCAATATGGGAAAAGCTTTATAATACCATCAACTAATGAATATTCACGTTTCACATGTATTTAAGGATTCCTTTGAAGAGACAAACACTTTGCTGCTTGTAGCCATAGAGAAAAACTTTCAATTGGCTATGATCTTCAGTGAGCCATGCATTCCACAAGTTAAGGTGTTGGCATGAGTTACTTTTTTCCTTTGGTGGAAAACTCATTTTGAATTTTCTCTCTCTCTCTCTGTTAGTGCCACAGAATCAATTCGCTGTCAGGCACACAAGCTATTTTAGTCAAGTAATTACAAGAAAGTAAGGAAACATTCTTGGCCTAGCCAAATTCTTTCTTGGTTGTACTGAGAATTTTTCAGCAACCTCTCATACTTCTGTTTATTCAACTATAACTCACATATTGAAAGAGCACAAGTTTTCTTTGAGAGCACCACTGTTGTGACCTTATGCCAGATGAGGCTGAATTTAATAGAGAAGGAAAAGAAATGCATGATAGTATGGACAAATAGTGTAGAAGGAAGAGATTAATGGCAATGATAGAAAACAAAAAATAGATGCATCTGTAGAGGCATATGAAAACCTAAATGGGTTGTGTGACATCAAAGTGATTTATATGCAAGAAAAATAAGCAGTCAATATCTTAATTTTTAGAATCATCAGAAATTTTTTTTTTTAAATGCTAAGGACAGGGGAAAAAGAAATTCCTGAAACAGTTTCAATTCTTATCCACAAATAAGTGACTTATTTTCAGGTTAACTTGTGAGCATCACCAACATATATTTGTGTAAAAAGTTGATCTGCTTTTTCAAGAATTGTCCAAAATTGAAGATTTTTATATTTCTTTTTAAAGAAGAGCAGATTTAATAGGAAGGTGATAGAAAGAAAAGATGACAAGCATGAACACAAGAAAGATTCTCATTTACTTTTGAATGTTAAATGCTAAATGACATTTCTGGTTCAAAAAAAGCATGTGCACTCTTCAAAAAGAAAAAAGAAGAAAAACACATGGAATGAAAGCAAACAATGCTGAGAAGGTGGGAGACAAAAATAAACAAAAGAGATAATGAAGTAGGAGTTGTGGGAGTTGTAATACCATTAGCTTTTATCAGCATGTGACACTGTCAAATGACAATGGAACTCTTCTGCTTTGTGAACATACACACTTACTCCTATGTTTCAGAAATGCACTCCCCAACACTGTGTGTGTGTGTTTTTATATATATATATATATATATATATATATATATATATATAAACAGAACTTGGTAGACAAAATCAAACGAGTATATGCATACATAACTTATTTATTCATATTGAGATGACAATTATGTGAGGAGCTATTCTTTGCAAACAGCTAATGAATAAAATGTTGATAATTTCCCCTAAATATTTGTGTTATTTACAAAAACATCTAAAAATAATAATTTATAAAGAAAAGTAAAAATTATTTTCTTCCCAACTTATACAAGTAAATGACAAAACCTATGAAAATTAAATAATGAAAAAACTACAATTATAAACATTTCAGACAATTCAAATATTAACAATTAGATAAGAACATTTATAACAATGTTCACTGGTTTGGGTGATAAAATCAAAGATTCAAAATGAGATTTATTTATTTTTTTTTAAATCATTTCACACTAAGCAAAGCAGTAAAGCCACTAAGAGGCAAGAGGTTACTGAGTGTGGGAGAATATAAGAAGAAAAAAATCACTATTAAAGAAAAGAGGACAATAAATGAACAGGAATTAAAAAGACAAGATAACAACAGACACTGCATTTCAATTTTTGAAGAATAAAGTTGACTGGAAAGTAAGTGACTGGAGTACAATTCCACAAGTGAGAAGTGCAAGAGAAGAAACTCTTAGCATAGAAGTTAGGTTACACTGAGCCATTTCAACTGTAAAATGATGAGACCTTGCTGCCAATCTAGTACTACAATTAAATTCATAGAGTAAAGATGCCATCAAGGAAAGTTCATGAGAATAATTGCCATGAAAGTATTTATAGAAAAGGCAGAGGGAAGCTATATTATGGTGGTGGGAAAGTGACGGAAGCTAAGATGCCATGTCAGGACCAATAACAATGTAGATTCTTCTTTGGGTTTTACCAAGAATCTCTAAATATATAACAGAAGAACCAGACTAGATGTGGCAACAATATTCAAAACATGGACAAATGACAGGTGTACAAGATAAATTCTAGCAAGAAAAATTGTCTAGCACAACACAGTGAACCAACTTTTGCAGCAGACCTATTGATTCAATATAATCTTTCTACTTTATGTAAATGGAAAATGTTAGTGCGAGAAGGTGCAATGAGTCATTCTCCTGAAGGTTAGCATCAGCCATATTAATGGAAGGTAAACAGGGTTCTCTCAGATTGTTAAAAGAGAGCATTTTCATTTTGGAAGCATTAAAATTAACAAGCCATTTCTTGCCCCAGTTAACAGATTGTAGATAATTTTTGAGATCAGCTGCCAATTTGACCTTAATGAACCGGTCAGACTTACTATTACTTATTATTTAGTAAATAGGTGTGTTCATCAACATAGATACCGAGTTGAGAATAGATTAGTTGTAGACTTAAAAGATAAGTAATAGCAAATTACACCCCTTTCTATTCCTGTTGTAACTGCTTAAGTTATGACTGAGATTAATTTGAACCAAATGCATTTGCACTGGGTCTCATTTTGATATGAAAGAAAAAAAAAAAAAAAAAAAAAAAAAAAAGAAAAGAGCAAAATTGTTGAAAACTAAAAAAAAGAAGCAGATTTAAAGAAAAAAAATGATTATGTACTGAAGTATTATTTTATCTGTTCCAATAAGAACTTACCTTGTAAAGGAGTATCTTTGACCTGAACTGGAGAATGCCAGGTGTTTGGTGTGAAGCTACTTGCATGTAGAGAGAGAGATGAAAATCCACAGGTATTCTTTTTTCTATTCTGGGGTGTCTTTTCAAGGAGTTTTTTCAGTGAAGTTTGAAAAAACCACAGAGAACAAATGCGACCTGATAACAAAATATATATAAAAAAAAAAGAAAACAAGAGTAATATAAGTATATAATTCCAAGATAAAGAAATTGAATTGTGTGAGGAATTTACAGTCAGTAAATCAATATTTGTAAAAATAAAATATTTAGAATTTCAGCTACATATTAACTTCAGACTCATATGTATACACAGTGAATAAAAGCTACTTATCTATTTCCTTGATGTATGAAAAGCCATAATGGTGTAAGAATCTAATAAATTGAAAAACTTTTTTTTTTTTTGCTTGGATCGGGATTCAGAAAGACAAAAATAAACTTTCATAAAATTTACAAGGATATGTTTTTCATCTCTTTCATTGTTAATTTTACAAAATATATGTATAAAAAAAAAAAAAAAAAGACAGAAAAATCTATGATCTTATGTGATATAATGTTTGAGCCCAGTCATAATTATGTAGTAAAATCCTTTTGACTTCTTTAAATAAAAAGTATACAATTACATCTACCATACAGTGTCTTAGACCCTTTACACATCTTGCATAATAAAACTTAACTTTACATAGCTGAAAAATATAAACTACTATAAATTGAAATTTTAATATTCCTAATCCTTTATACATATAATGCATGTTAAAAATTCTAACGATATCCATGTAATCTAAACAAGGTTCTTTGCACTTTCTCAAAACTGAAATATACGTCCCCCCCATTTGATGGTGAAAAAGCTTGTTCAGTTTAATTAAAAAATAAAAGACTTTTTTTTTAAAAATCTTTTTACCTATACCGAATCACATATTTATCATTTTGTTCCCTTATCTTGTACCATCTTTCAGGCAATGTCATAATTCAATTCTTAAAGTTTTTATTGTTTTGTGCAAAGAACTGCATTTCTAGACAGTTTTTGCAGTTTTCCAAAGTAAAATTTTTCTTTGAGAAAATTCTTTAAAAGCCAGAATAAATGGTTATTTGAAGTTGCAATATCTGAGGAAGGTTGTGTGTAAATGAAAACTTTCCATACAAACTAACAATTTGCCATCAAAGCAGGTTTCATGTAGTTTAGCATTATCCTAATGGAATATTCTACCCTTTTCACTAATTATAGTTTTCAATTAGTCTAATGGGAATGAGTATTTGTTTTGGATCAATTGTTAAGAGTTCATAGTTGAGGACTCACTTCCAATACAACCATAAGCCTTTCAAATCACAGGTCTTCTTTCAGACAAACAATATGGTTTTTGTTTCTCTAGGTCAAATAGTGATGTGTCAATGGTTAATGCTGAAACAGTATCAAACTTTAGATATGAATGCTGAATCTCAGGCAGTTGCTTTTGATATTTCAAAGGTGTTTGACAGGTTTTGGCATGCTGGTCTTCTTCAAATGTTTGTTTGATAAATATGATTTATATACCTTGTATCCTGAAAGATAAACTTTTTATTCCATCATTTAAACAGGATATTTTTCTGTACAAGCACTTCCAACAATGGTACTTCTGTTAAATTTGGGTAAATCTTGATGAGTTAATGCGTAAAAGATTTAATATAAAAGAAAAAAAAAAAAAATTGATGTCCATACATTCACAACCAAAAAAAAAAAAAAAGAAAAGAAAAATAATTGGAATCTTTTATCATACAAATTAAAAAAAATGTTACAAAATTTTAGCTCATTGTAATATGGAAGACATAATTAAGCTTTTAAAACATGAAAGTATGAAAATTACCAAAAAACAATTTTCAGTGAAATTAGTCCTGAAGGAAAAATGATAGAGTACAGGAATAAAAAGCTACATAAAAATGTGACTTCATTACCAGAAGCAGAGAATTGGGATTTAACTGATTTGATAGTCCCTATTGTTAAAGATGTTTTTAAATAGTCTGAATTTTGTGAATGATTATTCAGGTTCGATCAAGATTTATTGTCTCAAACAAATCACCAAGAAATATTTAGCTGCATCAGTGTCATGTCTTAGAAGTGAGAACAATATATAATTTATATGTAAAGAGTTTGAATCCATTTTCATTAAGAACTATATTAAGCTTGAAAAGTTTGCTTGCTGTTCAAAGAACATTTTGGAAAATACTTTGGAGATCTCTATTTGAAACAGCAAGATAGTTATTACTCAGACTGAGATTAGCAAAACTGTTGTGAATACATGCTATCATATCTCCTATTTGAAATAAATGTTACTCTCCCAGAACAGGACAAATGGCTTAAACTACTCCCTAGTATTAAACCAAATATTAGTAACATGTCAAAAGGTAGTGTGGCAGACTTTACATATTTTCTAAAAATGAAAGAGCTTGTGAAGTTCATGAGTAACCTTGAAGCAGTGATTGATGGGAATGAAATTGCTAAACCATCACCATCAGTGCCAGTCAATGAAATAATTATAAAACCTGAATGTATTGAGGAGACAGAGGAAGTAATGGTGATAATGAAACAACAGAAATCTTGTTTCTGTTCAAGACCACTTCAGTACAGATCACAATCTAGATCAGGGGTCACAATATTGCTATTGTTGCCTTCTTAGATAACTTTTTAGTAAATAAGTAGGTTTGTTGTCTTTATTTTTTGAGCATTTAGTGTATTGAACAAAATGTTTATCTGGCCCGCGCTCGTCATTCTCTCAATTATCTGGCCCTCTGTGAAAAATGTTTGGTGACAAGAAAATGTAATGACACACATCAGTCTCAGTCTAATAGGTAGTGCCATGACTTTAAATAGGACAAGACAGTATGAAGGTGACAACAATGCAATGACCGATCATGGCTTGTGTAATGAATAGCGGCATGGAATGAAAAACTGGAGAGCAGAATTTGAATTGAATCCCAATTTATGTACAAAGACCCTTGAGAAAGGTATGAATCCATCTCTTCTCCCTCAGCTATGGCTTAAATAACAATGCAAACTGAGCTGTATAACTGGTTAGAAACCATTCTAGGAGAAAAACAAATCTGAATTCAAAACTGATATAGATACTTTGAGCAATGTGCTTAACTAAAAACAGGTTATTGAATTAGAATTGTGCAAGTCTCCTGTAATGTCATGCACTATGTGCATTTTTTTTATATTATAGACCAACATGTAGATCACCAAAAAACAGATGCTAATCAATGTTAAGATCTTCAGAATATAGAAAAGAAAGTAAAATTGTTGATCAGTTAAAAATTTTATATTTGTACTGAAAGTGACTGTACTGATGAAGGTGGTATTGATTGCTAGCTCAGTAGGAATCATTAAATCGATACATCATATATTGTTGAGTAACATTCATTATAGTGGAAAACAGACCATAGACTTTAGTTAGCCATTAGCTAATGTAGGCCAGACATATTAACCATTGGCAAGAAGCCATATAAAAAGAATTAAACATGCTAAGGGAAAACAATATAAAAATTTACCAGAAGACAAGCAAGGACAATTCTAAGGCAGGTTTTGTTGCAAAGAGATATTACTAAATATCTGGCATTGATTATTGGGACATTTACATTATAACCATTAAAGTGTTAATGCAATTTACTGTTCAGTATAGTTTGTTTATTCCCCAGATGGATGTTAAAAGTGCTTATTTTAATGCTCCAATAGAGTGTAAACTGTATGTGGAACAAGCAAGATTTGCAATTAATGGTAAAAAAACAGTGAAAAACTAGTATGTACATTAAAAAAGTCATTATACAGTCAAAAACAAAGCAGACAGAATTGAAATATTGTATTGCATTCCTATCTGGTTAATCATAACTTCGTCCATTCAACTGCCAATCCTTATATCTTTACTAAATAGACAAGCGTTTCTCAACTATTGCACCCAGGCAAAATAATGCACGCTGAAAGGTAGCCAGGTGCATTACAAGTCAACAGAAGAGTAATTTATGAATTTTTTTGTTCATATAAAAATTATAAGCTGATAAACATTATGAACTTGTAAAGTTAGAGATTGAAATCACATTCATAAGATCTGAACTTATATATATTCTTTTTTAAGTAATAATAATATAAAAATCCTTCAGTGACTATATTGAAATATCTAATGATTTTTAAATAAATTGTAACCGAACTATTCTCTGGTTCCTTCACTAATTTGGAAAATCACAAATATATATAACATTATTTTCAATAACCTATATTGGAAAATGCAATTTCAAAAATATACAGAAGAATATACATGTGCACATACAAAGAATAAATTATTTATTCCACATGAAATACAATCTTGTATTAAAATTTAAAATGTGCCCCAGAGTTTTAGTTATTCTACAAGTGTGACTTGAAATAAAAATCATTGGGAAACACTAAAACAGACTAAAAGTAAAAATTATTATTATTATTTGGGTTGATAATATTGCAACAAACTGTATTTCTCCATTCAATGATATGAAAAAGTACTGACATTGAAAATGAAGGAGTGAGGAGAAAATGTTTGGTTACTAGAATACAATTTATATATTTAGATTATTTATATATAAAGGCAATGTTAAATCTCTCTCTTGTATATTACATTACAATTTATATATAAAGGCAATGTTATATTAGAAAGAACAAGTCAACATTTAGAAAAACTGATAACCAAATGTTATACAAAATTGTAAATCCAGATCCACTCTGTGAAATAGAAATAAATAAATAAGCTGTGCTAATTGAACAATGATAAATTGTACAGAAAAATAGTTTAAGGGTTAATCTATGTCATGTCATTTACTCAACCAGATTTGCATTATAACACCAAGCAAATCTAACTATAACCCATTTAACTGAAGCAAAACATGTTTTATATTATCTGAAACATACAAAAGATCAAAATCTAAATTTCCTAGAGTCAGTTCAATCCAAGAATTGTTTTCTATGATGCTGACCTGAAATAATTCTAAAGACCATTTTAACATAGATTACTTTCATCCTTTGTGTTAATAACAGAACAGATAGACACAAAACAGACAAGAATCATTTAATCAGTAATTATATTTGAGCATATTATTTAGTGTGACTTTCATCTGGTATGTTTAAAATTTGCCTGTCATTAAAA